CCAAACCCCAAAACCCTTAAACCCTTACCTGGCATCTAAGCCGACTCTTAGCTCTCCGACTTCCGCACAGAGTGTTTGAGGTTAGGGTTTAGGGTTTAGGGCTTAGGGCTTAGGGTTTAGGAGAATGGGGGTGAGCTTTTTTTTTTTCTACGGCTGAGGGTTTACTCGACCCAAGAGTAACCCAGGAATTCAAAGGGTCGCGGTTTAGGGCTTAGGGTTTAGGGTTTAGGAATTAGGAACCTAAACCCTAGAAAAAGCGAATAGGGGCCTACTCTGGGTCCTAGTTCAGGGTTCAATGGCAAGATGGGTTGTGTAAGGTTGATAGAGCTTAGGGCTCTGAGGGATTGGTTCTTCAGGGATGAAACCCTAAACCGTAAACCTAAACCCTAAACCCTAAACCCTAAACCCTTAGGTTTGGGGCTGAGGGGTTCGGGATACTTCGGCCGCAGCTTCCTCGGATCTCTGCCTTGCCTCTCTAGGTCCTGCACTTCTCATGGGTTCCCCTACTACCTCCTCTATACTACCCCCCCCCCCGCCCCCCTGATTAGGGGCCCAAAAACATGGTTTAGGGTTTAGGGGTACTGCCCCCGTCTATACTACCCCCCCCCCCTCTAGATTCCCCCATAATGAAGGCTACTTAGGGCTACTTAAGGTTCGTTAAGGGGGGCACCGGGTGGGGGGGGGGGGGGGGGTTATTTCGAGGGGGGTAGAAGCCCTAAACCCGAAACCCTGTCAATTTTTGGGCCCCTAATTATTGGGGGTAGTTTCGAGGGGGGTGGTAGGGAAACCCATGAATTTCTTTGGCAGGCCGGCATCAGAGCAGCCAGCGCAGGCTTTTAGTTCGTAGGGTTGTGGGCCTAGGTTTTGGGGGGGGGGGGGGGGTATAGGGTTTAGGGTTTAGGGTTTAGAGTTTAGAGTTTGGAGGTTTTGACCTTATTGTTCGGGCCCCAAACCGGTTCCTGCCCTCCATCCTCTGCACAGGGAAGGAGGGGCCCTGCGCGGTAAGCAGGAAGCTCCTTGCGTGCCAGGGCCAAAATGCGACTGCATCCCCTGCATCCCAAGAACTTCAAATTCATCCTGCCCCCAAACCCTCACTCATCAACCACAAACTACCCTAAACCCTAGAACCATGAAAAAGCCTAAACCCTAAACCCTAAACCCTAAACCCTAAACCCTAAACCCTAAACCCCAAACCCTCGCCCTATAATATCTTCCTGCTTAGGCCAACGGCCGCTGGAGCTCTTGCGGAACGGGCTGAGAGGCATTGGCACCAACAACGCTCCATGTGCAAAGTTCAAAATGCCCAGAAGGTCCAGCCCGGTTTAGGGTTTAGGGTTTAGGGTTTAGGATTTGGGTACAGGAGGGTTGATGGCATAGGCAGGCAAAACAAGCCTAAGCCCGTTATTACAATATGCCCGAAACCTAAACCATGCAGCTTCTGAACTCAGGGGTACATTCTTGGGAATGTATGACAGTTTCTTGTTTTCTAACATATTTCCTAGTTTGAATTGTCCTTTTGGGTCGAATATTAAGAGTCTTATGAGGGATTCTCGTCAACCCTCACAGATATGAACTCTAAACTCATCCCTGAGCCCCACATCATGAAGCTTGTCTTTCTTGGGGAGGGAGGCTACCCCCCCCCCCCCCCCACCCACCCACACACACACACACACACACACACACACACCCTCCGCAAAGCATATATAAATCTATATATATATATATATATATTATTATATTATATTATATCACATCACATCATATCATATCATATCATGTTATATTATATTATATTATGTTATATTATATATATATATATATATATATTATATACATATATTATATAAATATACATAGAGTCTGTAAAGTGGAAAAGAATAACAATTGATTAATGGCGAGGCCTTCGGTAGCCTCCTTGGAGCCTGAAGTTACGTGGGGAGGGCTTCTCCCTAACTTAGCTGCTGAGATCATACGCCCCCAAGAAAGTGTACACTTTCAGTTTTGTAGTATCCCGAAGAGTGTCAAGTGCACCCACTACTCATTCAGCTTCCTGCCTTATGAATCCCTTCATGGGTCTGGACTGAGTTGCCGGCAAACTCCTAAGGACTGGCGGCTTTCAATTAGGGATCCCAAAAAACAACCATTGGGATAGTGTGTCAGGGAGTGTCAATCCCTACTTTCCTTTGGGGAAACAAGGGGCTTTACGGTCTAGGGTTTAGGGCTTAGGGTTTAGGGTTAACAAGAGCCTTGTGCAAGGCTTCACCCTCCCAGGCGCCCCTTGGGCTAAGCGACGAATTCAAGCATGCACAGCTGCACAAAAGTCGGGCTGCAAAGGCTTGCTCAACCTTAAACCCCGAAACTCTAAAGAAACCAAGGAATCCTTTGGGGGGGGAGGGGGGGTGGGGGTGGGGGGGGGGGGTGGCGGGGGGGGTGCTCCATAGTAAGGAAAGCGAGGCGAGTCTCCTGAGTTCTCCATGAAAAGGTTAGGTGGCTAGGGTTACCTTGGAGGTTCATGGATAGTCATAGCAGGGGTCATAAGTTGGACTTTTGAGGCTATACCGTGACACCACTACTTGGGCTATTTAAGTAGCACCGACGAGTCTGACTCCAGTAGCGTTCACCCTGGAAACCGAAACTCTGATCTTAGGGTAGTTACATGGTCCCTTAATATGGGCCCTTAAAGGGGACCCTTATATGCCCCTGATTTACCCTATACCCAAGGGCCCATACTTCAAAACCCTTTGAAGGAGGTAAGGGACCATATTAAGGACCTATGTGACTACCCTTAGACCTGTTTCAACCCTAGAGCCTACTAAACCAAAACCCTGAATCCCATGAGGGCGGTTCTTCAAAATCATGTCGGAAAGTTCGCAAGGCCACCAACGTCCTAACAGCCGGAGACGCCGCAGCGCAAGGCCTGTGGGTATACAACTGCTCCCGTAAGGGTTTGTTTAGGGTTTGGGGCTTAGGGTTGAGTGTTTCTGACGTCTCAGAAAGTGTGAGTTCGCGCTTGCGCACACTCCCTAGTTACTTGGCCCCTTCTCTTGTGGTATGTTTTGGGATGTTCCCCTTTACACTAACAGTCCTTTTCGTACCCCCCCATGATGATCCCTACTTAGGTCTCTTAGTATAAGGGGGAACATCCCAAAAATGGAAAATTGTCCCAAAAGCCAACCTAGATTCGCAATAACCCTAAACCCTAAACCCTAAACCCTAAACCCTAAACCCTAAAACCCTAAAACCCTAAAACCCTAAAACCCTAAAACCCTAAACCCTAAACCCTAAACCCTAAACCCTAGAGCCCTAAACCCTAGAGCCCTAGGCAGGAGACTGCCAAGCCTTTGCAGGCCGAGCTTTTGCCAGAAGCGTCCGGGCCCCTGCATCTGTGGACCCTAAAGCCTATTAGTGGGTTTAGGGTTTAGGGTTTAGGGTTTAGGATTTAGGGTTTAGGGTTTAGGTACAGACTTGACATCCTACATAAGCCCCTAAACCCTAAACCTGAAACCCTAAACCTGAAACCGGCTAAGACCCCGAACCTTGCAACTGCCGTTTTCGTAATGAAACAGGCTTTCCTTACTTCGAATGGTTGGTTGGGGCAGCTTACAGTATGATTGTGCTCGCCTTGGAAGGAGGGTTTAGGGTTTCGGGTCAAAGGGTCGAAAGGGGACCTAAGGTTTAGGGTTTAGGGTTTAGGGTTTAGGGTTTAGGGTTTAGGGTTTAGGGTTTAGGGTTTCGGGCCTACTCTGTGTCCCATGGGTTGCAAGGAGATGGTATGGGCTCGTACGTTACACCCTGTTGTCAACCATCCGAACCACTCGACGCAGAGTCCTCTGGGCGGCACCATGACAATTCCTTGGGCCAACACAAAACGAGGCACTCAGATTGTAGTAGAACTCTCCGGGGTTAGGGCTTAAGGTTTGGGGGGTTCCGCTAACAAATGCCAAAGCACTGAACGCCTGGAGAGCCCGAGACCAGAGAGGGTGGAAATGATGGTTTAGGTTTAGGTTTGGGCTGTTCCCTCTTTTACTAACAGTCCTTAATACGGATTATAATGCCCTCTGTTTTAATCCCTATTAAGGACTGTTAGTATCAGGGGGAACATCCCAATTGTTAGTGTCTATTCTAAGGTTCCGGGTTGAGGATGTGCAGTTTCGACAAGGTGCCTGCAATGAACACAAACTACCCTCACCACCTAAACACCCTGACATCGGAGGCTGAATAATTAGAGCAGGGTTTTGGGCCTCTTCTAGCATAATTGGGCCCTAAGGGAGTACTATTGAAGCACTTATTCCGACCCCTATAGACTACCCTAAAGTGGATCTAGGGTTTAGGGTTTAGGGTGTAGGGTTGAGGGTTCAGGGTCCAATGAGACTGTGGAATTTGCTTGGCGATGGAGATTCCACACACACAGCAGGGATTTTGGAATATCCGTCATCTTCTAATTGCACTGCACTCCCGATATGTTTATGTTTGGGGGATTCCTTAAGCAAACAGTAGTCATGATACTGGAGCATGGAGCTCTTGGGTGCTGCGGTATCACGCAGTGAAGGTGTGGGGGTTTAGGGGTTTCGGAGTTGAAGGTTTGCGGCCGTTAAGGTTTTAGGGTTTAGGGTCTCTACTCTTCTGCATCCCGAAGAAGCAGAAGACTTCGACACGGGTGTAAGGGTTAAGGTTAGTTAAGGGTTTCGGGATTATATAGGGTTTAAGGGGGATAGCCCCCCCTCCCTCTCGCCAACTGCCTCCCATGATGTGGCACCGTTTTTGCGAGTGCTGCTCCTCCTATACTCTATATGACGACACAGTTCATCTTCAGGGGTGAAACTGTGGCTCTTGGGGCTGTTGGCAACATGTTGGTTGCGAAAGCTTCCCTTCTGGGAATCGCGAGACTTCGTTGGTCTCTCAGACCCGGGCAGGCCAAGCGCCACATTTTTGTCACTGAGCTTTTGCTATCACTTGAATAATATAGACAGAAAGCACATCTTGGCCAGAAAGGTTTCACATCACTGCCGTGCTGCGTCACCTCGCAGCCGCTCCACCATGTTCAGTGTACCAAGGACGAGGCGTGCCACGGGCGTTTGCATTACTTCCGCAGCTTGCCCTACGAGGTCATCTGGCAACGCTGCCAGGTGCAGCCTCCGTGCCACCCAGTCGCTGAAATGCACACAGTTGCGCTGCGCCAGGTCATAGTGGCCGGTCCACTCGTGGTCGACACTTTCCAGGTAGGCGATCATGGTAACGTGAGGCATTGGGGTGGTCCCCAGCAGCCTCTTCTCGTCCGGGGTACGAAATGGAGTTTGTCCTGGAGGTGAGACATAGATCCGGTTGTCATACCAGAGTTCACAGCAATTGTTTGGCCATTCTACAACGATGCTCGTGTGCCATACGGCCTGGAATTTCTTGCCGAGGAAGATGCGGCCAATGCTCCGCCCGCCAAAGAGGTCATACATATACAGATAGACTTTATGGGCAGGCCGCGAGGGCTGGGAGGGCGGTCCACATGTGTCCAGGTTGTCTGGCCGATCTGGCTGCTTTGCGACATCTGCGCGAGATGGCGCCACATTGGGTTCCACCTGTGACGGCGCGTCGCTCTTTTCCTCTGCTCTGTCTGATGCTTCCTGATTGAAAAAGTGCCTGGCGGCCTCGCATGTCCGCTCGTGGCGCCTCAGCGCGACACCCAGGCCGCGAAGAAAAAACACGCCAACGTTGCGATGGCAATATCGGCAGACACAGCGCTGGCACAGAGCCATTTTCGCTCTGTTCCGGGCACCTTATACCGAAGTTCAACTCGTGTCACGCGTCTCCGTTTTGATCCTGGCAGCTACAGAAGAGGCTTACTGGCCCAAAACCCAAGGAAATAAAAGTTGAAACTGTCGGAATTAAACTACCTTATAAGAAGCCCAAACGTTGAAAGGTTTAGGGTTAGGGTTTAGGGTTTAGCGTTTCGGGTTTCGGGTTTCGGGTTTAGGGTTTAGGGTTTTGAGCCAGTAAGGAGGCCTTCCCTGCGACGAAGGCTTAGGCCACACGGCTGCGGGGACGGGGGGCCGGTGCGACAAGAGACATGAATCCTGGCGTGCAAACCCTAAACCCTAAACCCTAAACCCTAAACCCTAAACCCTAAACCCTAAACCTTCAAGGACTCAAGGCCATGAGTGGTCAGGGTCTTGTGGACGTAGGGTCTTGCCGATATACAGTGAAGCAAGAATTCCCTCGCTACCCAATATAGGTTAGGAAAAGCCCGTGGGCCATGACGGCCATGAACTGAAAAGCGTGCCCCCCGAAACCTGCGGAAGACCCTATAGTGGCGACCTAGCAGTTAGAATATTGGAAAACGGGCGGGGGCCAGTTAGAATATTTGTGGTGCGGAGGGTAAACGGCCAGATTTTACCCTCGGGCCAAAACTAGCAGTTAGAATATTTGTTTTCCAGAACCAGCAGTTAGAATATTATTATTCCAGAACTAGCAGTTGAAATATTTCTTGGCCAAAACTAGCAGTTAAAATATTTCTTGGCCAAAACTAAACGGGGTTCCTGGTTTTTATGGTTTGGAAAACAGAATGAGCAGATAGAATATTTCTGGGGGCATGGTTGGGGCCTTCTCCAGGGCTCTTTCAGGCCTTCCTGGCCTTCACGGCTCCTTGCAGAACCAGCAGATAGAATATTTCTGGGGGCAGGGGGGTTGGGGCCTTTTTCCTGGCCTTCACGGCTCCTTGCAGAACCAGCAGATAGAATATTTCTGGGGGCAGGGGGGTTGGGGCCTGTTTCCTGGCCTTCACGGCTCCTTGCAGAACCAGCAGATAGAATATTTCTGGGGGCAGGGGGGTTGGGGCCTTTTTCCTGGCCTTCACGGCTCCTTGCAGAACCAGCAGATAGAATATTTCTGGGGGCAGGGGGGTTGGTTTCAGGCCTTCCTGGCCTTCACGGCTCCTTGAAGAACCAGCACATAGAATATTTCTGGGGGCAGGGGGGTTGGGGCCTTTTTCCTGGCCTTCACGGCTCCTTGCAGAACCAGCAGATAGAATATTTCTGGGGGCAGGCGGGTTGGGGCCTTTTTCCTGGCCTTCACAGCTCCTTGCAGAACCAGCAGATAGAATATTTCTGGGGGCAGGGGGGTTGGGGCCTTTTTCCTGGCCTTCACGGCAGGGGGGTTGGGGCCTTCTCCAGGGCTCTTTCAGGCCTTCCTGGCCTTCACGGCTCCTTGAAGAACCAGCACATAGAATATTTCTGGGGGCAGGGGGGTTGGGGCCTTTTTCCTGGCCTTCACGGCTCCTTGCAGAACCAGCAGATAGAATATTTCTGGGGGCAGGGGGGTTGGGGCCTTTTTCCTGGCCTTCACGGCTCCTTGCAGAACCAGCAGATAGAATATTTCTGGGGGCAGGGGGGTTGGGGCCTTTTTCCTGGCCTTCACGGCTCCTTGCAGAACCAGCAGATAGAATATTTCTGGGGGCAGGGGGGTTGGGGCCTTCTCCAGGGCTCTTTCAGGCCTTCCTGGCCTTCACGGCTCCTTGAAGAACCAGCACATAGAATATTTCTTAGGGGCCTTCTCCAGGGCTCTTTCAGGCCTTCACGGCTCCTTGCAGAACCAGCAGATAGGTTTTTTCTGGGGGCAGGGGGGTTGGAGCCTTCTCCTGGCCTTCACGGCTCCTTGCCGAACCAGCAGATAGAATATTTCTGGGGGCAGGGGGGTTGGGGCGGCAGCGGGGTTGGGGCCTTCTTCACGGAAGTGTATGCACACCACGGTCCAGCATATACTGGACCCGCTATATAAGTGTTATGTATATGTCTATATGCTTAAGTCACGGTCCGGAGCTTTCACCGAACCCGGAAGTGTATGCACACCACGGGCCAGCATGCACCGGAGCCGGTATATTCGTGTTCTGTATATGAATATATCTAATTATGTATAAACCACGGTCCGGAGCTTTCATCGAACCCGGAAGTGTAGGCACACCACGGTCCAGCATATACCGGGCCCGGTATATATAAGTGCATATACCCCCAGGGTTTCGATGATATAAAGAGAAAAAGGACTGCAATTTCTGAAAAAATATTCTAACTGCTAGTTTTGGCCCAGAAATATTCTAACTGCTAGTTCTGGAAAATATTCTAACTGCTAGTTCTGGAAAAACAATATTCTAACTGCTAGTTTTGCGCGATGGTAAATTTTTTTGAAAAAATAAAAATGTACTGGGCGGAGGGTAAACGCCAAAAAACAAAATATTCTAACTGCTGGGTCGCCACTATAAACCCTAAACCCTAAACCCTAAACCCTAAACCCTAAACCCTAATGCAAATTGCAGCTCAAGTTGCCAACTCGAATCCTTGTTGAGAACATCGGTCGTACTTGCGCCGCAAGAACCTAAGATGAGGCGTTGAGTCTCTTCACCGCTTGGCAAATGATTTCCTTGCCCCCTAAACCCTAAACCCTAAACCCTAAACCCTAAACCCTAAACCCTAAACCCTAGAGGAAGTTGAGCACTTTGTAAACTGACTAACGAATATTGAGGGTTTAGGGTTTAGGGTTTAGGGTTTAGGTTGCAAGTATCCACTCGTACTTGTAGCGCTGGCGATGGTGGCGGTGGCAGTCGTGGCCGGTCCGTAGGATTGCTGGTACTAGCTGTGTTTCGCCGGTCAGCTTGGTTCGGGGTTTAGGCGTTTAGGGTTTAGTTTAGGCTTTAGGGTTTAGGATTGAGGGGCCAGGGTTTAGAGCCTAGCTATGTTCCCTCGTCGAGTGGGTCGAGAGGGGGCGGTCGGATCAGATGTAGAAACCCTAGACCACGAAATCCGAAAACCTAAGCCCTTCATGTCCTAAACCATGGGTCCTAGACCCTGTACCCTTCAAGCCCAGGGTTCAGGGTTCAGGGTTTAGGGTTTAGGGTTTAGGGTTTGGGGTTTAGGGTTTCGGGTTTAGGGTTTCAAACCGTGCATACAAAAGGGGCCGGAGCCTGAATCATTGGCCTTCCTCACGAAATGTGCAATCATATCCCGCACGCAAAACAGACCCCTAAACTCTAAACCCTGATTGCAAAACGGCCCTAACTCTAAACCCTAAACCCTAAACCCTAAACCCTGAACCCTAAACCCTAAACCCTAAACAACTCTGTATGTCTCGGGCCCCGTGGCCGGCTGCACTCGCAAAGACTCCACACCTAGGTGCTTCGTAGGGAGTAAGTTCACCAGGAGGGGGAAAGAGGTTTAGGGTTTAGGGTTTACGGTTTAGGGTGTTCGAGTTTTTCAATACCCAACACCGCGGAACCCTGAAAACATACTCAGCCCCAGTAAAGCTTCAGGAAGTTTTTGGGTTCTCGGCTTAGGGTTCTAGTGATACAGGGCTCCTGCGACTCTAGATCGTGACGTGCTTATAGGGTTTAGGGCGGGGTCTCGTCGGCTTGCGCGTGCAGGGCCTGCAGTATAGAGTTCAGGAGTTTAGGCGAGTGGAGGCGTAGGCTTCGGACTTGTATTCCGCCTCGACCTTACAGTGAATGAAGGAAGCACACCCCACCCCTAAACCGAAATCCATACACCCTTCAGCCCTGAACCGTCAACCCCCAGCTTGTGAAGCCAAAAATCCGGAATTCATGGGGATAGAGATTGTAGCAAACGTGAGGAGTACTATTTATTTATCGGGCTTTTGCTTCTGGGTTTAGCCAGAGTTGCACGGCGCATCTTGATTCAGGCACTGGTAAAACAATCTAGACCAGCCCTACGCCCTAAACCCTAAACCCTATAAAGCCTAAACCCTAAACCCTAAACCCTATACCCTAAACCCTAAACCCTAACCCCTAAACCCTAAAGGCCCTTGGCCCTAGTTTCCAAACCCCAAACCCCAAACCCCAAACCCTTAACTCCGTTGCAGCGCTGGTCGAACCAATCAGGCTTCTCGAAGCTCTCAATGCAGCTGAGTTGCATGGGCATACCAGCAGGCCCAGAGAATGCCAGCCTTTTCAGGTTTATAGGTTTAGGGTTTGGGGTTTAGGGTTTAGGGCTTGGCGTTTAGGGTTTAGGGTGAGTCGGCTGCGCACGAGAGATCCGCCCTTATGCCCCTCCATCACCTTACCCCTTCCCCGCCCTGAGCCTTCAACCCAGGTCACGTCTTAATTGGAGACGGAACCGTAAACTGTGAAGTCCTTAGCGCGGGCTACAAAGTGTCCGACTGGTATACTTGGAGGTTCATGGTACTTAAAAAACCAACCCAATCAGAACTGCACTTCCAATAACCCACTTCGAAGCCGCATTTGGTGACCTAACATGCCGAACATGGACCCAAGAGCACTAAACAGAGCGCCCTTCATTCTTTGTGATAAGGGAACCTAAACCCAAAAACAATTGGATTTGAGGGCCTCCTCTGCGTCCCAGCCGTAAACCCTAAACCCTGAACCCTAAACCCGAAACCCTAAACCCTAACCCGCAAACCCTGAACCTAAAAAAATATTGGGAATCAGGGCCTCCAGTTCTATAATTGGGTTATAGTGGCGGAGACGCAGAGGCTGGGAGTCTTCGCGCGGCGGCACGGTGCCCTCGTGAAACCTGCGCTTGCGAAGGTCCGTTGCGGTTGCTTAGGGTTGAGGGTTTAGGGTTCAATAAGGGTTTAGTGTCTAGTTTAGGGTTTAGGGTTCAGGGTTCAGGGTTTAGGGTTTCGAGTTGCCGCCTGGGCTTTCTTCCAGCGCACGGCTTCGGTGGCGTGCTGGCGCACACCTGCCATGTGCGACACTTGTGGCTGAGCCACTGGTGGCTTGGCAGACGCCCCGCAG